ACTCTGAATAAACTAACAGGCATCCCCCCAAATATAAATTATGCCTTGTATTAAGAAATTCCAGGTATAGAGTAAAGTCAGCATATAAATGTACTGGCAAAATATGTTCAATCAGCATCAATTCCATGTTTCCCCATGTTCTAGATTTGGACAACTGCTCAATAAAGCACATTAGAACGCAACAGCACTTTTTACATAAGTGTCACAAGCAAATTATTTTATGGATTTTAATCTGAACACATTTTAATTTCTACTGCTGGCAGTTATGCAGTCTACAGTATTTACAATAGACATGTATCAAAAGATGTTAGCAAAAGTCTTGAGTCTCCCTGAACAGAATGTGTGATGCTCTAAAATGTCACAATCCAGCAATATTCCAAGTCCTGTTGCAGCTATACAGTGAGATACACAACAGGTGCCAATTTCTAGTGGGAATTTGAACATCAGACTCCTAAGATACTTTCTTTGGAAAAGAATTTTTTTTTTTTTTAAAGGAAGAGCGGAAACAGTGAGCTTTAAAAAGAACTACATTTATTTTTGTTTACAGCAAATGCCATAAATAAAGCTAAACAACTCTCACAGTGTGCAAAATACAGAATTTCCATGTGACAATTTAAATACAGAATTAAAAAAACCTATTTAATAAAAAATTTGCTCAATTAAGATCATGAAGCAAAAAGAAAGCAAAAAAGATTTAGGAGGAGAGGGACAGAATCCTTGATGGCATTCTTTAAAGAAATGAAGACTCTGAAACAGAAGGTAAAGAAACATAGCAATGGCAAGTGATTTGAAAAGAGAGACCAGTCCTTCATAAACCTTACCTTAATGAAGCATGCAGAGTTTAGTAAACAAAAACAAAAAAACAAACAACCCTAAAGTTATAAAAATCCATACTTGTGTCCTAGCCTTGTGGTGCAGGAAATGATGGGTCAACGCCATGCAGCGAGCTGGGGGGGGGGTTGTTTTTAGTTTTAAAAAGATTTTTAATTCTCATAAAGAGTTTAAACAATACCAGCACGCTCAATTATTTTAGCACTATATACACACACAGGTCAGCAAGATAATGAGTTTGCACACCTGATCCTATAGTCCTTCCTCATTCTACAGTAATGAATCCTTCGCCAGGGATGTTTACAAACTCCATAATGTTTTGTTCAGAGAGTTTCAGATTAATTCACTAAGATCCTGCATGTGCAATTGGATTCACAACATGAACCACTGTCCCAGTGATTTCAATTAGAATATGCAAGAGTGCAGGGTTCCATGCTAATGGATCCATTTGCAGGATTGGTACATAGGTTCTCATTTGTAGTAATCTCTCTTTTTAGATTATCATTTTATTCAAATATACTTGGCATTTCAAAAAAAAAAAAATTCCCACAAGCCCATCATAGGAAATAAAAGTAACTTCTCATGCACCAAGACAAATCTATTATCAGTTAATAAAACAAACCCCAAAGTTGCTAATGGGGCATAGTTAAAACTGTTATTAGTGAAAACAATTGGAATAAAACATTCTAATTACAGAACCCTGATTGTTTATTACAAATCGAAGTGCCTTAAACATAAAAGAGCACCTCCATTTTTATTAAACTGCCTATGAACTCTGGGTCCCCCCCCGTATAGGAATTTTTATTGCTCTGAATGTGGATTTTTGTTTTTATCAGAAACTTCAACTTTTTTCCCTCCCTGAATATTGAGGGGAAATGGTTCACATTTATATAGCACTGTTTCATCCATAGCTAAAAAGTGCTTTATGAAACTGGTAAGCATTACTATCCCCACTTAAACAAGACACAGAAGACCATCTGTAAGATTCTTCATGCTCTGGTTTTGAATTAGTGCAGATATAATACTTTGAAAGAAGTAGGGTTTTATTTAATTAGTATTTGAGAAACAATGGAGTTGCCTAATATTTAAAAACATAAGAAAAGATGTACATGCAGGGGAGGAAAGAAAGAAATGTCCTTTATAGAAACATAAGAAATGATCTTTTCTTGCATTGTGCGCTGTGCAATTGGTTAAAAAAAATAATCATGCTAAAGCTTTCATCCATTAATATACCAGACACACACAGTTTGCTCCAAAATGTTGTCAAACGATATTAGGGGTTAGTTACAATATTCTGAAACTGGCAAGCAGAACAATCACCTTACAACAGAAATGTTTCAGCCAATGAATGGACGTAGAACTGGAATGTTGAAATGAACTAAAAGCAACACAGGATGTTGGAAGAAAGGAAAAAAGAAAGAAAGAGGAACCTTAGTTTGGCTATGGGTGTTATTCACAGATTACTGGGCAAAAAAAAAAGTAGAAAAATCAACCAAAATTAAACTGCCTTATTAATTTATGAGTGATGGCTTTCTTCATTAATTTATAAAGATGAACAGTTATGAACCTTACTGGTAGAATTTTAAGGCTAAGGATAAAACATACATGGATTAATTATATAGATACCAGTGTGACATTTTCAGCAATACTAATGATTTTGAAATGCCAGCATATATACAATTTCATATTCTTTTATGAATATTATAAACTTTATAATCGTGAATATGCCCTGAAATTTGTTGCGTTTTTTAATTAATCTATATAAAACCTACATTTAATTTCTGTGTCTCACTTTCTACTAATAAGGTTCATTTTCTTAAAATTCATGGTACATCACAGGTTTTCAAGCTTCTTACTACAGAGTTATTCACTTAGACTACCATTATTCTCAAGCTGCTAAAATTCAGAACAAGTGACAAACATTAGTGGAGAAATCTTAGGGGAAAGTAGTCTGTTAGACTGCTTTAGTGTCCGACAGTCCAACACACTGAATCAAAACATGTTAAATAAAAATCAGAAAATGCATTTCTTAACATTCTTTAGGATGGCTGGAGTAACATGGTAAACAACATTATGGGAGTTTTTTTTTTTAAATTAAATTTTTACTAAAGAGGAGTCCAGTATTCAAAATACTCAAGTAGTACAAAAACATTTCTCTGCATCTCTATAGCTGCTTACCATATTACTGTTACGATCACGGTCTCCTGTCAAAAGTCTAGCAAATTCTCACTGTAGTATGTTTGAGCATTAGTGGCAAGTTGCTGCAAATGACATGCTGTACTTGAAAACCATACAAGTTCTTTGTATAAGCCTTTGCAAATATCTTCCTCATCCCCCTGAAAAAATCCTGAAATGCCTTCTCATTGAAAACTGTACATGGTTTCATTTTCTGTATTTTTTAAAATAAAGATAAAATTATCTGGAGAAAAATTTGTTTCTATTAAACCACCAGACTAAAAAAAAAAAAAAAAAAAACAACTAAAGACAACATACATTCTTTTTACTGCCAAACAAACATAGAAGCTTCCATTTGGTCTTTTGCAATAAACATATTAAAATCAACCCACCTAAGGTCATTGGCAGATGACCCCTCCTGATTGTTTTCTACCAACTGCTGGCAACATGTTTTCTGTGGCTTAAATTAATACCTTGTTATTAGAAAAAAATGCTACAGATGCTTTTAATTTTTTGGAGATCTGTCCATGTGTTTCTCCATCAAATACAGTTTTAAGCACTGAGATAGGGAATGTGTGTATAATTAGCTAGAGGAGTCTAGACAATAGTTAGAGTCTGGGGAATTGTTCATGACTAATTGTCATCAGGTAGCACTATACATTCTAGAGAAGCTTTTGGGTTAAGGTACCTCATACCAAGATCCACCACAAAAACCTTTGTCTTCAGAGATGATGCAACTTTATAACTATTTTGATTTTCTTCCATTAGCATCTTACATTGAAATAAAACATCTAACAGAAAATCATCAGTTTAAAAGAAAAACAACACATTATTTCTAAGTACTTCTATTTTACTCAAATATGGCTTTTTAGATATCTGAGTGCAATATATTGCAAGTTTAGGGCTCAATCCAAAGTCATTTTCAGCACCTACAACTCCAACTGACTTCAGCTAGAGCTGTGGGTATTCAACTCCCCTTTGGATCAGCCCCCAAATGAGAAAAACCTCTTAATTTGGGGAATAAATAGCAGCTATCTACACTATGTTTCTTAGATCTGACCATTTCAATTAATCATCCACTCATCTAGATTTGCACTTTAAATTTATTTCAGGTTTAAATAAGCTAGTATTACAGAAAATACCTAGTATTAACAAAGGATATCAAAGGAGTAATAAATTAAAAAAGGCATGGCTAGAAGTCGGTGCATTAGGTACAGTAAAAAGCTTTTTTTTTTTCCTTTCAAAACATCTCCATGCAAGTAGTAAACCTTGTACCCAGAGCAAAAGATGAAAGCAAGAGAAAAGGGATGTGCCATATTCAGGTTTCAAAACCCAGTCACTTGTCACTACCACCCTGAAATGTCTGAAAGAACATGTTCTTTCTTGGTCTTTAAAACAAGAATTTTAAAATGTAAACCCAGAAACATGGTTGTTCACAGCCAGAAACCTACCCCTGCACAAATGTTTATAAAATATCCTTCATTTAGTCCCCATGTTCTGGAAATGCATCTGGACACTGAACTTCATGATACCTTTCTTGTACAGTACATGTTTTAAATTCATAGTGTGTTTTGATTGCACTTAATCTATCAAAGTGAGCTCTTTGTTCACTTAAAGCACATATTAAATTGAAATGTTTATAAACATATTGGAAGGCTGTTAATTTTGGAAATCTGAAAGGCACAAATTAGCAAGACACTTAAGAATTTAAACCCTAAAGAACTTTTTCACCCATTCAAGCATGTTTTCAAGTGATAGCTCTGCTTCCCGGTACATATGAGTAAGTACCTCTAGCAGCGCACACAGGAATGGCACACCAAGGCTCAAGAGTTCATACAAATAGGTATAGTTGTATGCATTGTCCCTTAAATGAAGATTGGTAGCGTGCAGAAAACCATGCATCCAGTTAGACAGGCGTCTTGGAATGTCAAGCAGATCCCTCGTCACCCTAAGGGGCCAGCTTAGAGTTTTCCTAAAGAAGGAAGTCATGATACCTGGGGGCCTGTCCTCTGGACTGCTAACAGTAGAAGTAGTACTTTCTGTGGTTTCTGGGTGCTTGGGTTCCTCTTGCATCCACATTTCTGTTTCCACCTTAAAAAAGGAAAATTAAAAATAACTGCACAAGGGCTGAAATATAAATGTCTTTACAAGGATTAGTACATTCCATGACCAGAAGGGACCATCTATTCCAGTGGTTCTCAAGCAAGGGTACACAACCCCCTGGCGGTACATCAACTTGCTAGATATTTGCCTAGTTTTACAACAGACTACATAAAAAGCACTAGCGAAATCAGTACAAACTAAAATTTCATACAATGGACTTGTTTATACTACTCTATATACTATACACTGAAATGTGTATTTATATTCCAGTTGATTTATTTCATAATTATAGGGTAAATGAGAAAGTAAGCAATGTTTCAGTAAAAGTGTGCTGTGACACTTTTGTATTTTTATGTCTGATTTTGTAAGCAAGTAGTTTTTAAGTGAGGGGTAAGTGGAGACAAATCAGACTCCTGAAAGAGGTACAGTAGTCTGGAAAGGTTGAGAGCCACTGATCTAGTCTATGATAATCTAGTCTGACCTCCTGTATAACACAGGCCATAGAGCTTTCCCCAAATAATTGCTAGAACAGATCTTTTAGAAAACCCATCCAATCTTGATTTAAAAATCACCAGTGATGGTAAGTTGTTCCAGTGGCTATTTATTCTCACTGTTGGCACACTACTATATATTCTTGTGTCTGACACCTTCAGGTGAACTATGTAATGTAGCTCCACAAAATTCCCACTGTCGCTATCTAAATACACAAACATGCAATCCAAGACTCAAATATTTTATCTTCATAATTTTTTAAAGTGGCTCCTCCATACAACCTTTGTTTTTATTTGTATTATCTTATTTGTAGAATATAATTTGTTCTGCAGTTTGCCTTAGTCTATGACAATGACACACACAGTATTGGGATGGTAGCACAGGCAAGTATTTGTAAGAGTGATTAACTTTCTGTGATCACTGAGAGACAAACATCAACTAAGCTGACATCAATCAGAAGTGGAACCTTCAGCCTTCCCTTATCGAGTCAGAGCTCACTTTCACAATGTTAGCTTATAGCTATTGATTCTCAAACCATAAATATGCCAAATGCAAAAGAATAAAAGGTTAGCATTACTTGAAGATACTTTCCCCTGTTTTTCCATGTGTGTGTGTGTGTGTGGGGTAGCAACCAAACCCCACAAAACTGTCAACATTTATTACATTAGAAGTATAACCAATACATACTTTATCTTGCGTTTTTAATGTAGATCGTCTTTTCCTGTGCTTATTGCTTGTTTTACATTGTGTAAAATGAGGTTTGCAGTAAAATTTACCTGTAAAAAAAATGACATTATATTTAGCCGGTAGGTCCAAGGACTAAAAACAAGCCAATGTATCTGTAAGATGACTTAAGCAGCAAGTCTAGTGGTTAGAGGACAGCAAGAGGAATTGGGACTTCTGTTCTATTCTCAGCTTTGCCACTGACACACTGAATGACCCTGAACAAGTTGCTTTCTGTGTACTGGTTTACATACAGGCGGCATTACCCCACGTCACATTTCTATCACACAGGGCATTGAGGTTTAACTAACCTCAGTAAAATGCTTTGAGATCCTAGAAGTACAACCCAATTTCAGATACTAAACTAGTTAACATGTTGAACCTGTTCCACTGTGTATAAAGAAACAGTCATTGAAGCGGGGGAACTGAAACCTGGGTCTACCCTCTTCCCTACTGTGTGCCCTAGCCCCTGGGCTAGAGATTCTTCTCACTCTGACTCTGGCCCAGTGAATATTTAGATTGGAATAGTTTTAACATGAGAGATTGAAAGAGCCAGGCCCCAAAATACCCCAAAGGCCGGTAGTTAGGACACTTTCCTGAGAGATGAGAGACCCAAGTTCAAATCCCTTCTCCATATCAGGCAGAGAGAGGTATCGAACCTTGGTCTCGCACATCCTGGGCGAGTTTCCTACAACAGACTTGAAAGTTGTAAGTGGGGCATTACTATCTGCCACATACCCAAGCAGCAGGAACTCAAGTACCATGTGGACTTTAACAATGGAAATTTAGGTGCTCAGGAACTTTAGGTGCCTACAGGGTTAAGGTGGCAGCGGAGTCGGGGTTTTGAGGCTCAGTGGTGCCTAAATGTTGGATTTAGGTGCCTAACTGCCACTTTAGGTGGCAAAGTTCTTTTGTGGCTCTACTCTAAGTCTCTATATACTGTGATGCACTGGTACAGTCACCAAAGTTCAGACCCTATTGTGAACATTTTGGGAAGGAAAGGGGACATTCTTGTACTTTAACATATCCCTTCTAGAAACAGGGGTCAGCCACGGAGGCCAGGTGTGGATCCCAACATCCTTAAAGTCCGGAGAGTACTAGAATAGATTGTACCAGCAGTTTGCTAAAGTTGCAGCTTCCAACTTCCGAGCTACAGCCTCTTTGGGGGGCGGGGAGGGGGAATCCACACTTTTTCTTATTTGTTTCAAATCTGCCATTAATTCTGCCTCACTCTCATTGTTGAATAAGGAAAATGTTTTTATAAACTGGGAGGATGATCAGGAGGCTGGAGTGTTACTTTGGCAAGTGAAGGTCAACGCAGGAAACCAAACCTTTTTGTCTTTACTTCAACCCACAATCAGAAGTGACACATGTCTGATCTCTCAACCAAGTTTCCAGCAAACATTTCTTCATTTAAACAGAACTACCTTGAGGTCAGTCATAATTAGGCTTCACTAAAAGGGTTGGGACTTCAATTGCAGTGGGAATATAAATTGTGAAAGATCAGCACGGGCAGAACTCATCAATGGATCATGCACATCTCCTGACTGAGCAACCTTGCCTCTACGTTTTTGTGCTCTGTTCAAGCTTTAAGATGCATACATTTAAAAAAAAATTCTTAAATAGTTACTATATTACCTTCTTCTACATCAAATGCATAGATTGTTAGGCGGAGCGTTGTAGAACATACATCACACTTAAAGCATTCCCTATGAAAGAAGTGGCCCTCTGCACTCAGGCGCTCCATGACATATACCCGTTTCTTGCAGAAATAACAGATGTCACTGCCACCTATAGTCTGAGGAAATTCTTTTCGCAGAGATCCCTGTTAAAGATAAGTAAAAGATTAAAACATGGGTAAAGTATTGTGTTGTCAATCAACTAAAGTACATGCATATACTCCATCTACTACATTGCTGCTTTATTAAATATCCCATCACATTTGCAGTTTTCACACACGTACTTAAGATGAGTAGCTGCTGTCAACTTTTCTGCTGTCTCCTCTTTGTACTCATTTAATAGGATACCTTGTGTTTATACAACACTCAAAAATTATCACTTTACTAAGACTTTTAAGGGACCAAGTTTGCATTCGCATGTGCACACACACACACTTTTGTACTTGCGCAGGTACAAGGTAATATTCACCCCCAACACTCATTTGTTAAACTACAGCTTGCTGGTTCAAATGCTAACATTTGCATGAGTATAAGCATTAGAGCTTAGGCAGATGTTTGCACCTGCAAAGCACAGACATACGTATTTGGGGCCTAGGTGCTGAAAGTGTACATGCTAAAAATAAAAATCAACTCAACAGAAGAGACACTCTTCTGAGGCAGATCTAGCCACATGCTGTAAGTCCCACTGAAGGAAACTGCCACGGTTACAAATGCCAGAGTATGAAATGCTCTGCTAGTATTCAAAAATATATTTATTTATACCTAACTGTTTTGAGGTTGGTTTTTTTGTCCTTAGATTGCCTGTACACGTTTTTACATTGCTTCTTCCCAAGGTATATTTAGAATATGTTAAAAATTGTGGTTTTAAAATAGGGTATTAACTACTGAAATCTTTTTTAAAATGTTAATGACATTCTTTATTACTGATGGATCCTTGTGTCTGCAAGGCCCATCAGGAACCAAGCAGACCAAATCTGGTCATGCTTCAGTTTTCCCACAAAAGGGCATGTCTGACAAGGCTGCAAAAGGAACCTCTATTGTGTACCCTTATTCTACCTAGCTATGGGCCCATGCAGAACTATCCCCTACGTCTTACATGAGAAGAAGTAATCTATATGGAGAGGAGGAAGTTGGGGCATTGACAAGATACACATAGGCAACATGCAGACTATACCACCTAATCTCCAGATCCCATCAGAGAGACCATCGTTTTGTGGTACCTCATTTTTTGGTGTTAACCACAATCAGGGCACGATGCACTTCCATCTTATGCTTCCCCTCTAGCTGTGCATTTTTCGTGTGCTTATAAGTGCAAGTGCCAGTCATCATTTGCCCCCTCCATCCCATTTGCCCAAACAGATTATTTCTATACACAAAATTTCCAAAATACGCAAGCATACAAGTGAAAAAAGCCAGTCGCAAATACTATGTTAATGGAGTACGGACAGTGATGAACTATCGCTAAGCTGAAACAACTGCATATTAGTGCTTGCTAATAACTGAGCACCACCAGAGCACCACCACAACACCATCTCACTTTGCCTTTCACTACCTGACAACTCTGAACAGTAGAAGCAAAAGTTGGAGAAGTGGAATAGGAAGTGGGGAAAGATGTAGCTGTGTCCAATGACTGGTTCTGAATTCAACACAATATTATCATAGTTTAGAACTGCTTTCTTCAAAAGGAAACATGAATTATTCAACATACATATGTGGGTGTAACTGTACAAACATGCACTTTAATAAACTTTCTCCAGAAACCAACTCTGATTAATAACTGTCTTTACTTATTAGTTGCACTAGCAATTACATTTAGCAGAAGCTCCCAAGATTTTAAGATACAGAGGCAAGTAATAAAATATAATAGAAGCCCTGGTCTCTGACATTTACAGAATATACCCATGCATGCATATCTTTTGCTAATAAGCACCTAGTTCTTGGGAAAAAGAAGAAGAAAAAAATTCCAGAATGCTTAAGGATGAGAATTGTTCCAATTCCAGAATCTTAAATTGGATCATTGTGATCCTGGAAATGTTACTCTTAAAATGAAGATATTTGATTCTTTGTGGATTTAGCCTTACCAGTTCTGGGGAGGAAAACTGTGGCTTGGGCTTGTGGTCATTCACATAGAGATTGACAAGGACTTCAGCCACAACCCCTATTCCACGTGACACCTTCCCTACAGTCATCTAACCAGCAAAGGGAGAAGATGAAGAATAGAAGAAAGAGCTTTCATTATTTCTGAGAAAAGGGCTGTATGAGAAAAGGACACAACTTATTTGAAAACACACACACACAAATGCAAGCAGTGATAAAAACAGGCTAGAAATTAGAAAGAAGAAAGTCTAGCACAGTGTGAAAAGAACAGGAGTACTTGTGGCACCTTAGAGACTAACAAATTTATTTGAGCATAAGCTTTCGTGGACTACAGCCCACTTCTTCGGATGCATAGAATGGAACATGTATTGAGGAGATACATATACACATACAGAGACCATGAAAAGGTGGGAGTTGTCTTACCAACTCTGAGAGGCCAATTAAGTAAGAGGAAAAAAAACCTTTTGAAGTGATAATCAAGATAGCCCAGTACAGACAGTTTGATAAGAAGTGTGAGAATATTTACCTGGGGAGATAGATTCAATGTTTGTAATGGCTCAGCCATTCCCAGTCTCTATTTAAGCCTAAATTGATTGTATCTAATTTGCATATCAATTCAAGCTCAGCAGTTTCTCGTTGGAGTCTGTTTTTGAAGCTTTTTTGTTGCAAAATTGCCACCCGCAATTAATTAATTACTTAATTGGCCTCTCAGAGTTGGTTAGACATCTCCCACCTTTTCATGCTCTCTGTATGTGTGTGTGTGTATGTATATACCCTGTTTCCCCGAAAATAAGACAGTGTCTTATATTAATTTTTGCTCCCAAAGATGCGCTAGGTCTTATTT